TTGTCTTCAAAAAGTCATGGCTAAAACATGCAGATCATTAGTGGTTTATCAAAACCCAGTACCACCACCAAAAATCAAAGAAAAAGTTACATCTGCCACTTTCTTCTTCCCTCTACTCCTCATTTCTTTTCCCTCCTCTTCCTGCACAGCGTCTGGGCTCACGTTTCAGTTTCATAATCTGTCCATTGTGAATTAAGAACATTTTGTTGGCAGTTCTCTTTACCGACGGGGTGCAAGATACATTGGCCTCTGTGACAGTCAGACCCTGCTCAGATTCCTACAATTTCTGGTAAATACCATCACTCCCCAGGCGAGCTAGAGTGCAAAACCAGAAACAACAGCAGGTGCTGCATCTGTCGGAAGGGAACAGAGTTAAGGAGTGTGGGTGACTCAGTGACAGTTCTATTGATCTGGTTTTTGGTTTTGGTTTTTTGGGTTTTTTTTTTATTATTATTATTATTGGTAAGGATATGATGCAAAATAAATTCCTCAGGAGTGGGGCCTCCTGGCAATGAGATTAACACATTGCTGTTATTTTTAGCTTGTTTTGTAAAATGTGATGCTACAATTACTAATATTGTTAGAGAATTCATTGAGTCTGTTAGCTGAGCCCCGATAGCTACCACCTGATTAAATGTGGAAGCCAGGCCTTGCAATTATTTTTTAATTTAGTTTGTAGTTACTCTAATGATTTGAGTAAAGTTTGTTTTTTCTTTCTTTCTTTCTTTCTTTCTTTCTTTCTTTCTTTCTTTCTTTCTCTCTCTCTTTCTTTCTTTTAAATATGTTTATTCCAACAAAGCATGTTTTGTTCCCTAAAGTTGTTATTCAGTCCATTTTAGCCACATAAATGCCTTTTATTATGTCAAGTGAAAGCCTAAATATATATATAACAAAACAAAACTATATATATATATATAGTTTTACTTTGAGATAATCAAAGTATGACATTGTATTAACCCTCACTTAAAAAAATACATTTATAAGCTAACAGTTGTCTGCTTTGATCAGAAATATTCCTATCAGTTGTACAATTAAAAATAATTTTAGTAGACAAATCTTTCTTTGCAGCTCTCAGGCATTCCTTGGTTAGATATTTGTCTGTTCGCTTGCCTTAAAGGAAATACCTGAATCTACCCACCCCCCAAAAAGCCCCACAGTAATTTCCCCAAAACACCTCTCACCTTGACCAAGAAGGCAGCTTTTAGCCAATTGGCAAAGTCAATGCACCCATTTCATCAATAAGAAAAATACCCTTTTAAAGACTCACATTTTTTAAAAAGTAAGTTATATTCATAATTTTGATAAATTGCCTAACCTCTTTCACTGATTTCTGTCATTTTATGAACCTTGTTCTTGCCTCTTCTGTGGTCCTAACCATTGCCTGAGAGAGTGAGTAGGTGACCAACTAGAAAATCCCTAATGTACCCTCTACCAGGATTACTGCTTTGTGCTCGCCATAGCATTAGCAAACATATTCCTTTTATTTAGAGAGATAAAGACATCTGGAAACAGAAAAGTATGTATATTCCTGGAAATACTCCATTGTATGCATGTCTCCCAAAAGGATATTTAAAAGTTGCTTTTAAATTTTATTATGATGAATGTCTATACGCACTGTCTACTATTTATTGAACAACTGTTAGCTGCATGGCATTGCATCACACTACCAGAGATAAACATATTTCAATATATTCACTTTTGAAAACTATTCGGTGCAGTTGGAAAAACATATACACAGAAAGCCTGGAGGGAGAATTCATAAGTCTAGAGCCCTTTACCTAATTAGGGGGTATTCTAGGTGCTCTACATGTACTATCTATCCAACAGTCTTGTGAGTTATGTCTTAATGACTCCACTTTAATGATGAAGACCCTATAGTTAAAGCACAATTCAGTAACTTCAAACCGACACTAACAGGATGAGACTGATGTTAAACCTGTGTGTTCCATCAGGATTTTCCTATGATCAAAGTGCCTTGGAAGTTTTTAGAAGAAGTCGTGTCTGGCCTGAAAGATCAAGAATGGTTCTAAGGGCACCTTAATGGATAAATCATAGTAGGTAGGTAATCGTAGTGAAGGCAAAGGAGCAGAATTGATGAAACAGAAAAGGCAAATTTATATTTGAAAACACTTGCTTCTTTTTTTGTGTGTCATTTTGATTTTTTTGTTTGTTTGTTTTGGAACATATACTTCTTAACTGGATTTCATTGTAAATTATAGATGATAGAGAGATGAAAGAATCTTACAAATGCTGTTTAGATTCAAACAAGGAAATCATTGAATGCCATTAAAATCATAATGCACTATTATGAAAAATTCAGAAAAAAACAAACCCAGAAATGTATATATTTTCATATGTAAATTATATAACAAACCCTTTCCATAACTTGTTTGTCTTCAATAAATACAATATGAGCACTTTTTTCTCATTGATAAAGTATTTACACATTTTATGACTATACTGATTTAACCTGTAGCCAGTTTATAGCTATTGGGTTTCATTTTTTTTTGTTATTTTTTGAAATCTTTAAAAACAATACTAGAATAAGTGTCTCTATTCATATAATTTTGTATATGTCCAATTATCTCCTTAAGATGAATTTTTAATTTGGATTGCCAAATAAAAGGGTTTTCATATGTTTTATAAATCAATGCAAAGTTTCTACTAATTTATATTCTTACACTGCCAAATTAATTTTCCTTGAATATCACTTTCAAAACATCACTTACAGGATTAAAAACAAAATGTTCCCATATTTTTCTAACCTCAGTTGCAAAAAATATCGTCCTCAATCTAAGTCCACATGCTAAATGCTAATATGGCACACTCCTCTTTGTATCTACTTCTCAGATGTCTGTCATTCAAGTCCCAGATTTCATTTGTCATTAAGTCAGAGCAGCAACATTTTCTGAACTACTTTGCCACTTACTTATTTATTCACTTATTTATTTATATTTAATTTATCTATTCTTTCATTTATTCAATTATTTATTTTTTCATTAACAATTTTGAGGAGCTAGTGTATTTTGGAGTTGAATGCACCCCTTGAATACATCATTTAAAGTGCTCTTTGATCTTTTTGTATTGACAGATTATTTAAAAGTTATCCAGAGGAAGTTTTAAAAACACAATGTGTCCATGTCTTCTATAACTTTTAAGAAAAATTTTTACTTATATACATATTTGACGACATTATTGAATTCACATTTCAAAAACATCCGTGTGTCAGAATTTTCATTCAATATATTAATTTGACACTTGATTACCACTTCATATTGTGATTTATATTTTACTGCATGTTAAACCTTTACTTTCCCATTTTAGATTCTTGATTTAAATAGAATAAAATAAGTCTAAACAAAATGTGACTAGAATGAAATGAATAGAGGTGTTAAGTCTCTGTCTTCTCTCTCTCTCAAACTGAAACATGTATCTGGACCCTTGGAAAGGAGTTACCCTAAATGATCTAGTAATCTTTGGGATGACATGAGTCAAAATTTGAAGAATCAAAATTGTACACTTTTAGAGACAGAATAATCTAGGATTAAGAAATAGCATGTGTATTTATCTTGGGTGTTTTGCCTGGCTTATATGCTAAGAAAGAGTGATCTAGTTATCATACATTTTAGGAAAGTAATAATTTGCATTCCCAGTAGCTGGCTCTGAGTTTTGCATCTCCAAGAACAACTTGGAAGAGTTTTTTCCTTGATCAACAACATTGCTAGTAAAGGAAGAGGAATGAAAAGGCTATGCACCTGGGCCAGAATGTTAGAGAAGATGGGTCTCAAAGGTAACAGCAAGGTAAAGACTTCAGTTGGTGAAAATTATTCCAGAAGTCTTCTGTTTAATGATTTCCTGGGACCACATATTTTCACACAATGTCAAACAGTCAAAAAGGTGTTTTCACAGCTTTGAGGGAGTAACCAACTACATCTCTGCCTGAATTCCCACGACACTACTTGTCCAGTTTAGAACCATGATCTTCCCGCTTCCCCTCTACCAGACCTAACTTCAGCCTAAGCAGGTCTTTGGCAGGTGGTGCTGCTCCTGATATGAAAGCTCTTTAAAAGCGACATTGCTCCTCTGGAGCCGCTTCAGGGTTTAGCTTCAGTCTGGATGTGGAACAGTCCCTTTAGTACCTCAGGAAACAAAGAACAAATATATGGCAGTCCTGCCTGCACTCGCATGACAACCTGTATAGGTTCATCCTGGGTTCTCTTAGAACATCACCTGATGAGGAGTTACAGTCCTTGGTTAACACTGCACAGCCAACTCCTCCCTTGTGAGGATGTGGGTAATTCCTGATAAGTGTCCAATTGTCATCTTGAAAGAGGGGACATTGGGAGCAGTGCAAGCTCCTATAGTAAATGATTAATGTGTATTTTCCTGATCCTGACAGATTCCAAAAGAAGAGCAGATTGCTACCCATAAAACTAAGCAGCCTCAATACGGAATTACTGGAAGAAACAGAAAGCCTTTGCAGAAATGTTCTGCTTAAACCAATGTTTCTCAAAAACCAGCTATTTTAAAGGGACCAGGGTCAATATAAATGAAATAAATGGAGGCTGAGATAAAATATGTCAGAAAATTTGCCGAAAGGTTATTTTAAGGTGGCATGTTAAAAACAATAATGGGCCATTAGGCTGTCTTGTTAAAGGCATTAGAGTCACAGGCACAATGTATGAGTCACATGGACAAGATTTTCCACTTTATATATAAAAACTTCAATATTGGGTTTCTGGTAAAAGTAAAATGTTACCATTTCTGTGTATACTACTGTAAATATTTACGTTAAATTGTAGGCAAAGGAATAAGCAAAGTATTAATGGCTCTGGAAATGTGCTCAAAATATTACACATTATAAGTAATATAATACAGATTGAGTGCGATTTTTCTTTATAATTAAGTATGTAATTTAAAAAAAACTTCTAGCTGTTCATTTTATATGCAGGCATACTGCTTTTTACATGCAAACATCTCTTTGTTAAAGGCATTCATTTATTTATATTTTTATTTTTTTATTTTTTTGTCATCCTTGCACAGAATCCTTGCTAATCTTCTCTGTATCATTCCGGTTTTAGTATATGTGCCTCTGAAGTGAAAATAACAGATTTATTTTTAAAACAAAAGTTTGAGCACCTCCAATGACCAAGATAAGTTACTAGATAATTTGGGATTTCAATGATTTCTAAGAAATGATGCCCTCACATTCTAATGTGCAATTGGAGGCAGGTGCTTGACGTGTGAGGAGTGTGCCCCAGGGGCATGGCTTTGTCCATTCTGTGCACTGCTGAATCTCCAGGACCCACAACAAGATCAATTACATAAGATTTAAAAAAAAATTACATAAGATGTATTTGTTTTAAAAGGATGTATACTTTCATATTGTTTAAAAAATTACCTTAATAATAAATTCTTATATTCCTTTCTGACTGTCACCCATGAGTTTGGAGCCTATACATTATTAATTCATTTTTTAAATTTAATTCTGCAATACTTAATATTAAAAAAAAAAATCTTGCTCTTTATAAACTCTTTGTGGGTTGTTGATGATAAAGAAAAAGAAAAACATACTTTAAAAGGACATGGAACCCAGCTAGTGTGGCTCAGTGGTTGAGCATCAACGCATGCACCAAGAGGTCGCTGGTTCGATTCCTGGTCAGGACACATGCCCAGGTCATGGGCCCAATAATCCCCATTGCGGGGCACGTAGGAGGCAGCCAATTGATATTCTTTCTCATCAGTGTTTCTATCTCTCCCTCTCCCTTCCTCTCTCTCTATAAATCAATTTTAAAAATAGTTTAAAATAAATAAATAAATAAAAGGACATGGAGATCTATGGTGAATTTGTTTGGCTAGAAAATGTGCCCTTGAAATTATTGATTTACTTGTGTGTCTGTTTTTTATTTGCTTATTTTTAGTTTTAGACTACTAGTGGCATAGCCTCAACAATAAAAAGACTGGATCTTTCTACTAATATAGATAACTCCGATTTAGATATAATGTTTCATGCTACGTAGTTAAACCTCCTGCTTCTTCCTGAAGGAAATGCGGCATCTTTAAATGGTTTGTGCTATTTTAAATAAATATGTTTCATCTAATATACCATGTGGGTTGTTTTTTTTGTTTGTTTTTTTGCTTATAGTATTTATACAACCACACGTTGCCTATTTAATTACTTCCTAAATGTCTTGCACTGTCATTTTTTCTAATCTTTAAAATTAATTGAAAAAATAATCTTTATTTTCCATCCAGCAGTGCTCAGGAGTCTAGAAAGGAGCAGATCGTGAGACCTATGCTGGGATTGCTTCGGAGTCCCAGCAAGCTTGGAGCTCCATACACAAATTAATGCCCTGCAGGGGGTAGGAGAGGGGTGTTTGGGGAATAAAAGGAAAGAAACAGGGCATGGCAGAGGCTTCGGATGCTAGAGCTTACAGATGCTTGGTTATAGGAAACTCGTATAAATGATGACGGCACACAGACGTGCAAGAGAGAAGAAAGATACCGGATCATAAGATATGCATCTGTACTGAGAAAAATCACGGGTGAGATTACTGAAAATAACCATTGGGAGTTTTGTGCTTTAGTCCCATAGACTGGATTGGATCACTGAATAAGACATTTACTTCCAGTTTTCGTGCTTTGGCTAACCTAGGATGTCTCATGGTTTTGCTTTCCGACACATGCTTTTAAGAAATCGTGTTATTTCTGGGGCTCTGCATGGCCCTGTCTCTACAGCACGCTGCGCTGCGGCCCAGCTGAGCATCTCAGAGCAGCCAACAAGGCAGGAAAATGATCCGACGCTGCAGGGCTGGGCTCGGAGGACAGCCCATTCCGCGCTGGTGGCTGAGGGAGAGGGACTGCCACCCAGTGTTTTCACAGTGTCTGTTTAAGGCAGCTTCTAAATTGACAATGAAGAGCAGGGTAGGGGGGGACGAGACACAAGAAAAAAAAAAGATACCCTTTCCTTGAGGGTGAAAAATTAATTCAAAAGTATCTGAGAAAACTTAGGTAGTAATTCCTATTCCAAACATACATAAGTCACAGGCAACCTTCTTTGGTTTCTAGGCACATTTTTTAGTTTAGTACAATAAGGAGAAGAAAACTGGAGGTTAGTGAATCCAGTGGGGCAAGAGGTGAAGAGGACTAAATTTCAGTCAAGACAACAAGGAAAGTACAAAGACTACAGTTTCTCTTTCATGCGCTTTGATCGTCCTTCCTGTCTCACCCTTAATGAATACTTTCTCAAAACTGAAAATAAAACACTGCGTACTATTCAGTTGCGCTCTTCTTCCTGGGGATTTCTAAATGGGAACGTGAGTGCTTCTCATCTGTGAATATGACTGTATATTTTTATAGGTATAGTTCACACACGTATACGCGCATATGGATATTTTTCTTTTGCTGGAATCAGGCAATGGACAGGAGAAAGAGGAAAATAAAAACCATACTAGAGGCCCAAAAGCAAATGTTAGTTTCTTTGAATTTCTTTCACAATTCTACATACTGGCACTCAGCAAAGCCAGTCTGGCATAGTGGAGGACAGGCAGTGGTTGCATGACATTACACAGGCTCCAGGAGAAGCTGGGACTGTAAGGCCAAGAGCTGTTTGCAATCCTCCACCTGGCACTGCAGAGAAAACCGCTTCGATAGCCCCAAATTGTAGCCCCTGGAAGGTAATGGGCTTAGAAAGACACTAAGAGAAAAACATTTCGTGTCAACAGTTGAGGTGCACCATGTATGCATGCTCGGGGTGAAAGTTGTTTTTGTTTGTTTTTAATTCTTTCTTTTATTGATTTTAGAGAAAGAGAAAGTGAGAGGGAGAGAGAGATAGAAACATCGATGAGAGAAAACATCGATCGGCCATCTCTTGCATGCCCCCTACTGGGACTGGGCTCACAACCTGGGCATGGGTCCTGACCAGGAAACAAACCGGTGACCTCTTGATACATGGGTCGATGCTCAACCACTGAGCCACACCAGCCGGACTGAAAGTTGTTTTTTTTATTCGATAATGTGCCCTCAAAGCTTTATACTATTCTGACTGGAGAGTAATAAAATAAAAGATGTTATGCCAGGGGATTTGATTCCACTAGCTTGCTCACGTGGTACACAAAGCCACACATGTGTGCCCTCAGAGTGCATGAACACACATTACTCAGGGCTGTATCATATCTTGGTGCCAGTTACAGCTTGCTCACTTGAGGATGGGACCTTTGCCATGGTGGAATGACACTAATATATACGGTCAGCGACCGTACTCATTCCAAATTAGCCCTCTCTAACTATATAATTTAAATACTCATATTAATAAATACCTGATACTCGTACACACAAGTCACCTTTTCTCCCCCACTGATGGCTTTGATTACTTTGACAGACTAAGATACGTTAATGATACAAATTAGGAGCAAGAAGAATTAAAAGGGTGTTTAACTCTGATGCCAGGCTGTCAATTTCCTATAGTGCTACCAACTTACAGATAGATGATTAAAACTGTTTCGGTTAGGAATTTTGAATATTTTAAAAATTGAATGGGTTTCTGGAGGAGGAAAAAAGAAAGAAAAATCTGTGCTTAGCTAATTAGACATCCTATTTGATTTAACAATAGGACAGGATTATTCTTTGAGCGTTAAGATCATCCTATATTACTATAAATATGAGCCTACATTTTGCTATTACAAAACATATTTATAAAATTTTGCCCAGTGTGTTTGTCTAATTCTTTACATTTGATATTTTTATACATTTTCTTTAGTGACAGGTTTATAAAGAGAAGTGGTCATCAATGACTTCTTAATTTGTTTCTAAAGCAGTTATTTCCAAATCATGATGCTAGATACTGTAGGTAAGTTACAGAAACATATATGTGGTTCCTTTCTCTAAGGGACTAAATCTAGCAGAAAAAAATGGCATGTGCACACAAAAAAAACATATATTTTATAGAATCTTAGGAGTGACATAATAGTACAAACAAAATACTTTGATTGCATAGAGGTAATATGAAACTTGGATTTTTCAGTCAGACAGTGTCGTGTAAGTACTGATTTTATCACTATATAACTATGTACACCTTGATACATGTATTCAATTTATTTGGGTTCCATTGTATTATCTAAAGTATGAGGAAAACAATACCTGTTTCTCAGATATGGGTGAACATTAGTTGAGCTAATACTTGTGAGACATTAAGAACAGTGCTTTCATGATACCCAATGGTTGCCCCTAAGATCAAATGCATCTCTGTGATTTTATCAGTTTTATTTTTTGTCCTGTCCACTAGACTATAAACAATATGAGGTCAGAGATTGTATCTTATTGACCATTCTATTCCCACTGATTCAATATGATTAGTATAAATGTTTATTAAATGAATAAAGAAAGGAATGGATGAATGTGTGATGATCAATTGATAAAACAATATTTAGTTATTTATAGACTCTAGCAAGATCTGCATTCGGATTTCGATGGAATGGTCATTTCTGTCTGAAGCTATAATATCAGAAAGCACACGATGTAAGCATAAGAAAGCAGAACCCTTATCTTGACTGTCAAATAAGGTGAACTAGTTCTGGGTGTCATACCATTCCCCTAATTTAATATATTATAATAAATGTTCAGAAAATAAAAACAATGAAAAACAGAAGTCTACAACAGCACTCTCCAATTCCTCAGTAAGTTAGTACTCTTCGGTGTGTGTAACTGAATGAAGAGAGTGATGGAAAACGCTCCGGGCAGGGTTCCGTGTCCTCCACTCAGTCTCATCTGATCATCCGCGGCCCTGGAGCAGTCACTTTACCTGTCTGAACTTCACTTCTGTCATCTGCAGGTAGAAAATGGAGGACTTAATGATCTCCCATTTCTTCTAAGAGTAAAATTCTGAGTCATTTCATTTAGTTTATTTTATATCTGAGTTGTTGATGAATGTGTTTGCTGATTATTTTAGCACAGTTAAAGGATTGTGAAAATAGGTAGGAGGACTTGAAAGAGATGATGACATTTTCAGGACTTATACAATTCTTGTTTTTATGTACTTTTTAATTAATTGTAAGCCTACTTAAGTATGTAATTAAAAATAATAATTGAGATATTTTGAACCATCATGCTT